TCTCCTCTTGTCTGCCCTGCCCTTCAGTAGAAATATGTTTTTCCCTCCAGTATTGGAAACTGTATTCAGCTAGGCACTGGAGACAGCAAAAAACCCAATTGGCCTGCTCTTTCTCTTCGACGAGGCGGCTGAGCAGCCTCCCCATCAGATGTGGAGATGCAGATCTCTGCGAAGACCTTGACCAGCAAGACCATTGCACTTGAGGTTGAGCCCAGTGACACCACTGAGAATGTCAAAGCTAAAAACCAAAACAAGGAGGGCATCCCATGCAAACAGTGGTGTCTGATTTTCCAGGCAAACAGCCAGAGGTAATGTAAGGAGGAGGCAAGAGAACTAGATATTAAGTCGAGCTATATTCAGAGACTGTGATATGTTGATCAGCCTACTACAGTCAGTCCACAAGAAAACCTGTAGAACAAAGGAAGATTTCTGCTGGGATTACTAATAAACCATTTACCCATAATGAGAAGGAAAAACAAGAAAACAGTCTTTAAGTCATGGCCTACACAAAATAAACACAATCATTCATTCTCTATGGCTAAAACCATGGAGATCCGAGGCTGGGATTGTCAGCAGGCCTTTTCATGCTACAAATTCTTACCTTATCACGCTACATTCTCTAATCAGTCACACTATATACCCATACCATCAAAGGAAAATGTGTAAACAAAGTCTTTAAACTGTAATTCATAGAAAGTAAGAATGATATGTAAACTGAATTGCCCAAACACTCGGGGTCCCTCTCACTGTCTTTTTCTTATTGTCCCTGTGTGCTGGCTGGAAAATTACTGCTTGGCCATCGCCCATGGGAACATAGGCTATCGCCCATAAGAACATAGGCTATCACCCATGGGAACATAACATTCTAACAATAAGCTTTCTGCTTCTGTACCCCCGCTTGCACAACCAACCTGTGGGTTGACAGGTATTGAATAGGAGAAAAATAGACCTTTGTGTTTAAGACAGAATGAAGAATGGGATTTGGGGCTTAAAAACTCTGTACCTCTACATTTTGGGGCTGCTTAATTTGGGGTCTGCGTACCCCTGGCAGACCCAGCTGGCTGAATAAAGAGCATGTTTCCTATAACTCACTGATTTCTGGTGGTCCGTGTGTCTTTTGGGGGCTGGCAGCTACAACACCTGTCCCTCTTAGTCTCTCTCAAGCTCTCTCACTTCTTGTCTCTAAGAGGAGACCATGCTGTCTATGGAATGTTACCCCTTCTCTAATAAACTTTCTTTTTAACTCTAACTCTGGTGTGCACTTGAATTCTTTCCTGCTTTCAGTCAAGAACCCTTTCTTTCTCAGTATAGGGCCACTCAGGAAAATTTGCCTTGTTCTGCATCGGAGGGATGGCCGCACCCTCTTAGACTATAATATCCAGAAAGGGTCCACCCTGCACTTGATTTTCTTCCTTCAGGGCAGCATCATCAAGCCCTCCCTCCACCAAATTGCCCAGAAGTACAACAGTGACAAGATGATCTGCCACAATTGTTATGCTTGCCTGCATCCCTGCGCTGTCAAATGCCGCAAGAAGTGTGACCACTCCAGCAACCTACGTCCCAGGAAGAAGGTGAAATAAGGCCCCTCCACATCCTCATTGGCCCACAGGGCAGCCTCCTGCCCAAACCCCTTGGCTCTGGAGCCTCAGTAAAGTTTCCTTTTCGTTGACTGGAGCAGCAAAAAAATAAAAATAAATTTAAAAAAAACTGCTTTCCTGGCAGCTCCCTTAAATGTGGACTCTGCAAGTTTCTTCACATCCAATCCACTAGATCTCCCTAGGTGATCTCATCCACTGCCATGGCTTCAGCTGCCTTCTGTAAGCTGATGGCTCCCAAATCCACATGGCCAACCTGAGCTCTAGACTGTACGTCTACCTGCCTACTAGATCTCTCCCCCACCCCATATTGTCTCACAGGCACCTCACACTCACTGTGTCCAGAAACTCACCAACTGCTCTGCAAACCTGTCTCAGGGAATAGCACCATCCCCTTAACCAGAACTACATGTTCTCCTTCTGCCTCACTTTTCAACATCCAACCAACTACCAACTCTTTTGGTTTTTATAGTCAAAAGCAAAGTTCCAAAGTTCTGATATCGTGAAGGCAAGAGTAGCTCAAGTATGATGATAAATGGCAACTGACATGAGGCCTAAAGTTGAGCTAAAGAGTGCATGGTGCACCTCAAAGAGCTCCAGGGTCCCAAGTAATTCCTGCCATATGGGAAGGCAGGCCCAATGTAACTACGTTGTCTGATTTTTCAAGAGAGGCCAGAAAGTGTGTTTTTATATAAAATGTCCTGAATTTTAAGTGTTGACAACTAATTCAACTGAAAAATAATTATAAGTGAGGGGCTTCTAAACTGCTGGCAATGTTCTTTCCTTGACCTAAGTGATAGTTACAGAGGTGTTTATTTTACACTCATTTGTTAAGTTTTAAGTTTTAGTTTAAAACTGAACATGTAAGTACTTCTCTGTGTGTAAAAAAATAACTTTTAAAGGAAAAAACTATTTAAACAATAAGATTACTTATAAAAGTGGCTGGGTACAAAATTAACTTATTATAATCAAAGTTTTCCAATATAAATACTGAAATGAATTAAACATTGTCATACAGGAAAAGAGACTCATGATAATTAAAACAATAAAAATAAAATACCAAAAATTAACAAATTAATAAAAAATATTTATATATTATAACATTTTAAAATGTTATATGTAATATTTACATATTATAACATTAAATATTATAACATTTCTTGCTAGTTGATTAATATATATAAAAAATGAGTTATGGATGAAAAGCAGGGCTTAAATAAATTGAAAGAAAAATACACTATTCTTGGATAGACTCAAATATAAAGATGTTCATTCTCCTTAAGTTAACCTATAAATTTAACACAATTCTTGTTTCTATAAAAATAGGAATGGGACTATTTTGGGGACTAAACAAATTAATTCTAAGGTTCTTATGAGAAATATATATTTCAAATATCCAGGAAAACGCTGAAAAAAGAGAGTAATAAGGACAATAACTAAAACAGTTTGGTTCCTGCACATGAAGAGACATACGAGAACAGAATAGAGAATCCCAAAATAGACAAAAATATACCTGAGAATTTGTTATATTCTAAAAATAGCAGTTCGGTCAATGAGATTGGGTCAAATGGCTAGCCATCTGGAGATTAAAAAAATGACAACTCAAGTTGCATCTGTACTTCTCTCCCTATATCAAAATAAATTTGAGATGGATCAAAGAACTAAACATAAAGAATAAAATCACAAAGTACCGGAAGAAAATATGGAATATTTAAAAAACTAAAAATCTTGAATAAAAATCACTTGATTTTTAATATGTATGTGTTTTTTTTGTTTTTTGTTTTTTTTTAATAAAATTACACTTTTTAGTCACAGGCTGAAAAGCCCCACAACCTGAATATTACTGAGATATTATTTGGGAAGAATATTGAAGTAAATATTCCAGAATATTTTATCTGTCCTACAGGAAAGCACTGAATTGACAATATAGGAAATAATACCACATTTCAAGTTTTGCAAAGGATTATATTTTCACCTTTATTGGAGAAGAATCTTCCAATGGAGGAAATTACTTTCAAGTGCTCATTTATTTGCGATAAATGCTTTAAGAAATTATGGAAGAAGAAATGCTGTTTTTTCAAATCTTGATGATCTCCACTAAAGTATGTTATTTTTTTTTTGAAACTGTCAAAAGTCCTCAAAGTGAATAAGCCTCTCTCAAATACGAATGAACAGTAGATTACCAGACATTTAAAGAAAGCTTCTAAAGTAAAAGAGAGAGGCCAAAACAAAGGAAAATTACCTTCAACCTAGAATTCCAAACTCAGCCAAATATCCAACAAGTAGAACGCAGGACATTTGTTGTCAGTCATGCCAGAACTCGAAAAATTTACCTCCCATGCACTGTTTCTCAAAAAACTACTGATGGATACACTCTACCAAAACAAGGGTGTAAACCAAGAAAGAGGAAATCAAAAGAAATAGAAAATCAAATGAGAAAAGAAGGTCAAGGAAGTCCCAGGATGACACTTGTGTAGCAGGCCTCAAAACCAGCCAGTCAGACTAAAGCAGGAGGACAGGGAGTCCCAGGAGAGAACAACGTGAAACTAATAACACACTTTACAAGTCAGATAGTGAGGAAAGATATTATTCACAGGGGTTTTATTGGTTGGTCTGGAAGAATTAATGATACTGAACAGGACACTAACAAAAATAGTAAGGTAATTACTAATTCCGAAAAGAGCAGACATTGTATAAGCAAAGAAGGAACTATAACAACAGTAAATTATTTGGATTGGCAGTAAACAATACTAACAGAGCCATATTAAGATAAACATTGAATACTGATTTAACCAAAAATTGTGCTATAGCTACACTGAGAGGATAGAGGGGTGTGGATATATATGGAAACATTTCTGTTAGCACAAACATGTTCTCATATGTTCTTCAAACTGGAGGCCTTGAATTTGTCTCCCTAAATATCATAGCAAGCCCACTTGGGCATGTATACTATCCAACATGGCACTAAAATATTTCTTCATTTTCTCATCCTGACAAGATTTTCAAAATAACTTTAAAGCAAACTATCAAATTTTAACTTGTCAACAGGATAAATTTGGATAATACTTTCCTGATGTTGAGCTGAAAACTCTATGAGAAACTTTTTTTACAATAATGTTCAGTCTTTGCCAAAAGTTTGTTCTGAAACACAAATTCATTTTATTGACAAACACTTTCTAAAAAGAAATCTGTCTAGGGAATTATTTTTATAAAATATTTTATAATTTATCTGAAGACAAGTGGTCAGGCAGTAGATATAAGAAAGTGAAGCTAGCTGAGTTTAATGTTGACAGCCCAGAATGAACTGACTGATAGAGAAGGCACTATATGATTGAGGAAAAAGAGAAAGTGGAAGCCCTAGACATGAAAAACAAACAGAAGTCAGTGTCCCCTATCCTGCTCTGGGGAAATCCTACTACACAGAGGAATTTGCGACATACGCAGTGATAACACAGCCCTTTTCAGCCAGGATATAGACAACATCTGGAATATGTTTGTAGTAAGTGTAATCTGTAAAGCTGGTCTGGCCATAAAAGGTGGTAAAAGCCAATTTGGACTTCAGAGTTCAAATACTTGGGATATAAGGTAGGATAACAAAACCCCTTGTGAGATAAAATAGATGCTATTAGGACTGGAAGGCTCCCAGAACCAAGGAAAAGTGAGGTGATTCTGAGGACAATCAGGACATTTGAAAAGCATACTTATTTCAAGATCTTATCTAGACATTGAACAGAAAAGAATAAACCTGATAGTTATCTGCACCTCCCGGGAGTGTTAATATATTTTGGAAAAACTGAAATTGTCTTAAATTTCTTTACTGGTTTGATGAGCTCAGATTTTTCAAAATCCTTCCCTGTAATCAAGTTTCCCCCTCCCCAAAACACTATTTACTGGACTGAGGCAGTTTTATCTTAAAACCACAAAAATGTAAAGCAGCTTATGGTAGAGCTCTCTAGAAAACAACTAACTAAGGACAGGAGGACCTCTTTTCTCTGGAAGAAGTGTCTAGCCATTATACGGGTTTCAGCAAAATCTAGGCCATAAATATTTGGCCCAAAGTTGCCTTGTTATGCTCTACTATAAAGATTATGCAAACGGTATTTTAGATAACTATCTAAAGGTATTTTAGATATCTATCTACAAGAAATGTTCAAAGCAGACAGAGAAGCTTAAGCTTATCCTAACTATATGGACACTAGTTCAAACATTAGGTATCCTAACTATACGGACACTAGCGCAAACGTTAGGTAAATACATCACTGGAGGGAAAAGAACAAGGTGCAGGAAGCCCAGCTGAAATCCTCTAGTACAGAATATCCAGAAACCTTATAGAAATTTTACAACGTATAAGTCCATCAATAGTGGACTGATTAATTTACAGTACAACCAAACTATGGGATGTTATAAGCCATGAAAAATAATTGCATACTTCTGTACCTACAGAATGGAAAACCTCCCACACATATTGTTAACCTTAAAAGAAGCAAGTTGCAAAAATAACTGGTTATGTGTGCAGTGTATATTTTTGATTACATGGTAATCACGGTTATCTCTTGGGAGTGGGGCTGTGTGTTGGATTTTCACTTTTTCCTTTATATACTTCTACATCAATTTTTTTTTTTACAGTAAGCGTGCACTATTTTTATAATTTTAAAATCCTCAGTAAATATTTTAAAAATTAAAGAAAAACAACCATATGAAATCGGGGAGAAAAGAGTGGTAAGAAACATAACAAATCATTAAGAGTGGTTATCTTTGGGGGAGGTTTTTCTTCCTTTTACTTTTCTGCATTTTGCAAATTTTCTAAAATTATCAACAATTTTATAATGGAAAGTTAAACCATTTTGAAACACTTTGAATGTACAGAAGATTGAGTATAGTATGTTACTATTTATACTAAAAAGATTATTTATGTAAACATACACTTTTATCTCTGGAATGTTAGACAAGAAACTCGTAACACTGACTCTTCAGATAGAAACCGA